GACGATATTCATGTAGTGCCTTGGTGGCAATTTAAAAAATCAATAAACAAAAAAATTAAAGACATAGCTGAAGGTTCTGATGAAAAGAAGGCATTCGAACATCGTGAAAAATCACCTGATATGGGTAATACTTAAAGAACGAACAATGTTGGATGTTATTATCAGCGTGTGATCGAAGATGAAAAGGATGGACATAGGTCTTCGAATACCAATAGATCTAAAGAATTACTTGCTCGAACGTATGGTGCCCATCGTGAAACCATTTGTAACAGTCTTTAGAAGCCGTCTTAACATGAGGAAGTAGGATTGTAGTGCAGGACTTGTAATAATATTCACAAATTCGAATCTATTCAGATTTATATGAATTTATTCGATCAATTCAAATTCGGCTTATAAAAATTCAAATTCAAAAATTAAATTCGATTCTAACCTCTAGACATTACTACATAGCTTGGGTTTAGGAATCGGGATTTCTACTTAATTTGGATTCACGTTCCATTTCAATCAATTGTATCAAACTTACGATTATAATTGATTTAGCTAAAGATGTTATATAATAAAGTCTACGATACCTATATACGTAGAACTAAAACAATGGGATGTTTTTAAATGTGACTCTTTTTAAATTGTATAATTAAAAAAAAAAAAACTTCTACCAATTTTATATACGTAGCTGTTTGCCAGGATACTTTTGTTAAAACTTATTTGATTATTAATTTCATTCAATCAGAATGTGACAGTTCGAAATAGCTAGGATACTATTCTAGAAACTACTAGCATTTGTTCTGGAATGTATGTTGAATATCGTGTCATGTGTCATAAATTACTTTCTTAAATAATTATTTGCATAGTGGCGCAATATTTAATACATTTGATGTGATTAGATGATTTGCACCGCTCTTCACTTTATGTAATACCTATTCGTATAAGTCACGTGTATTTTGGTAGATAATAACTACTATCGAATCCGCAAATACCGTTTTTAAATTTGGATACGCTAACCTGATTATGGAATCCAACGCAGTAAAGTAAAATATGATAAACCTGTGCTAAAAATTTTTCTCGTTTATCTGCTTACAAGATATATTGTTAAAAATTTTTCTCGTTTATCTGCTTCACAAGATACACTGTGCTAGAAAAGGTATTCGAGTTTCTATTATAGCGTTCAAGTGATGGATGGTGAACAGTCAGTTATTAGGCATAGCATATGATCTACAAGCAGATTTTAACGATAAACCCCATAAAACTAGCTGTGCGTTTTCAATCTTAAAACAAAAAAAAGGCTAAACATGTTTTTTTACACCTCCCTAAAAAACTGTCAACTACATAAAAAAATGTCAACAGATTTTGTCAATAACCCTTCTGAAATGAAATTTAGAGGCTCTTTCTCGTACAAAAATGACAACATAAGTGTTGTTGAATTTGGCAACAATGTCAACATGAGAATCGAAAGAATAAGTCCTAACATCGCAAAAATTTATTTTGTGGATGATCGAGGAAATAGTATCCAAATACCGAATGGTGTCGTGCTTAGAGATACTCTTAATAACTTTAATGAAACACCTCAACTAGTTAATGGGTTTGGAACTTACTTTGTATCTTGGATTTCCAACTATGTGTTACTGCTGAATGGTGTTGCGGTGTTTGCATTAAAAAATCAAAAACAACAATCAATAGAAGGAGTAGATGGATTTAGATACTCTATGATTGAGCAATAGTCCTTTAGTAGAATCTCATATAGTCTTGTAGGAAAATTTAAATAGATTATAGTGTCATATTAACAAAAAGATTACATACTGCGTTTTTACCTTTCATTGCATAATCAATAAAGTAGATATTGAGTCAATTTAAAAGCCGAGTTTGTCCATCATAGATGCTAATTTTAACCTGTATTAACCAGAAGCAAATTAACTCTTTATTTTGATTTATTGGTTATTGAAGAGAGATTGGTAGGAGCCTTGATTTTTATTACTAATTCTTTTATTTGTTTTTATGATCAGGTTACTTTACATGATTGAAATTGATCCTTAACAGAAAGGTGTGGTCATTTCAATAATATTGGTGAGTTAAGTTTTATGTATTAAACCGGAAGATCCTTGGTTATATAAAAACACTTCGAAAATAGAATAGCCAAACCTGATTTCTTTATTACTTTGCCATCATAAATCTATGAGTGATGAGACTGCGATAGGCTGATCGGCCACATACATTGCATCGGGGTACAATCACGGAACAAAAGTGGAATCGTGATTATATTAAATTATATGAGTGATCAGGGTACGATCATGGAATCAGCAGAGCTGGCATTAATAAAGATTTTCGATTAGAAGAACGTACAATTTATCATGTGTTATTTTTTCGTGTAATGTATATATATAATTTTCCGGAATAATTTTCTTGGCAAAAGTGCACCTCTTTGAAACAAAAATATTTCTTGGTAAAAGTGATTTTATTAAATAAGTTTTGAACAAATATATATCTTATAAAAATATTATCGAACATGCATTCCGAATTAGATTTGTTGAAAACCTGCATTGCTGAGCTTGAGGCTGAAAATACGAAGCTTAGGCAGATTATAAAAGAAAAATCTGATCTTGAGACTGAGAATTCCAAGTGTAAAGCTGAAAATACTAAACTTTAAGCTGAAGTAGCGAAATCAAATATGTATTAATAGTAGCATCCCGAAAATGTGATACTCCAGACGATTACTTAATAGTTCAGATAAATACTGCGTCGTACACCCTTAGGAGGGTGTACTCCTTAGTAATAGAAAGCTAAATAGCTATCGAAATAGATATCAAAAAAGTACACCAAGTGTGTAGTATATATAAAAATACACCATTCATGTAAGTTTTTTATATGTTATATATAAGTTATATAAGTTATCAAGAATACGTTAAAAACTTGAAAAAAAAACAAGAAAGAATAGTGTTATCAAAAAAAACACAACTGTGTACCTAAAAAGTCCACTAATCTAATGCTATATAATTACTACTTTATTTCACAATTTAATAAATAATACTGTTGTTAAATATTATATATCAATAACTAGTTTATTAACTTCAATCAGAAAATAAAATTATTTGTAAAAATAACTTTTGTTATTAAATATTTTATATCTAATAACTAGATATTATCTAAATACTTATTGAATTATCTAATTTTAAATGATTTAAATAATCAAAAATAAATAAATAAATAACAAATTACTTAAATTAAAACTTTATAAATAGACAACTTGTATAATTTATTCTAATATAACAATAATATAATCATTTTTTTGCTATATAAAGTTACATTAATTTAGAAAATTTCTAAATTTACATGTGTTTGTATATAGATCATAAATATAAACAAAAAAAAATTATTAAAAAAAGTAACCTTTTTTAACTTAAGATTAGAACAAGATTTAAGATATAAATTTATAATTATATGTAAAATTTAGGAAGAAATTTTTTTATTAGAACTTCAAAGACGGTTTCATAAATGATAATGATGTTTTTTTAAAAAAAGATTTACATGTTACATCTGATCTTAAATTTTGATTGGCTTTTCTAATGAGTTCGTGTAACATAATATACAAACACTAGTGTAGTAATTCTTAAAATTATATTTCCTATCATATCTCCTCAATGAATAAGTTCAATTTGCAAAAAAAAAATCGTAACTTTGTAGAACTTATATAGAACTACAGTATTACGTTTTTTTGGCAAAATTTTAAAATATTCATTGAGTTACAATGCCTTTAGATGATTTGCAACGTATACATATAAATGTCAGAGATAAAAAGCCACAATATAACAAACACAAAGCGAACAATAATATACAATCAGACCTTCTAAATGCAGTCTCCCTAAATGCATGTCTCGTCTCTATGAAAGCCTCCCAAATGCACGCCTCTATGAAAGCCTCCCAAATGCATGCCTTCGCTTGGGCCTAACTAATATAATACTTATAGAATTTTACCTCCCTAAATCCACGTGTAACTAAATTTTTACTTGGGGTTCATGTGATTTTTTTGCACCTACCTATTATAAAATTAAAACTTGCAACGTGCTAATATACCCATCCTAACTTTAGGTAGACTTTCCCTTTTCGTCACAATGCATTTAGAGAAAGGCCTGTCTGTAAATTTATCTATCTTATACTGATCTATATACAGTACAAATAGACCAAATTTAAAAAACAAAACATTTAAAAAAAAATTTTTATTAAAAAAATTAGTTTTACTATTTTTCGTTATTATTAGTATTAGTGAATTTTCTTAAGTGAAAGTTTTATTAATTTCTTAAGATTCATTAATATGGTTTTCAACAATATTTGAATTTTATTATGCTCACCTACTATCTAGTTTTTTAATATAAACATTTAATAAAAATTTAATTTATCTTGTTACAATAAAAACTTTTAACATATATTATATATATAACTTATACGTAATTCTAGATTTTATTGGTTAAAAATATTAATAAGAGTAAAAATTATTAATAAAAATTTTAAATTCATACCGCCCGGGCGTTATTTCGAAAAATTATACGTATTAAAAATCAATATTTATGTTGGGTTTCAGATACGTAACAATTTGTTCCGAATGTCAATTTGACTGAAAAATAAATAAATTTGGCCCAAACATTAGGGAAATTTGTCCTACGGTTTAGGCGGAGGTTGGCACGTATATATACTATATATATACTATATATATATATATATATATATACGTATACTGTATAAGTTACTCTCGTTTTAGTGAACTCTCGATATAAGTATATTTTACATAAAACTCCCTTGATATAGTGAATTTACTAAAAATTTTACTGATAGACACTCAACGTAGTGAAGGAAATTTTACAACCCGATAATTTCACTATAACGAGTGAATTGTATAACGAATTCATTTACAACGAACCAAAATCTTCAGAACCATGATATCCAATTCAGTAAGGGGAAACTACTATAGAAAACCACATCTTTCATAAGTGCATTTGTATTCAGAAGGATAACCAATTGTTTTTTGTGCATTTATGAATTAAATGTCAGTAACGCAACTTTAAATTTTTTTTAACCTCCTGCTTGCTAATGTTTCAAAATCACGGGGAGTTACATTAGTTTCCATTCTACTTATATAGGAGTACTTTAGTTCGCTCTATTAGCATAAAGTTTAATAAAAATTCTAAAGGTAAATGCTATATATCGTATAATTCATAGCGATAGTGTTATAAATTACTTAATGCTATTGCTATGAAATTTTTGGTTCACTTGTTTAATTCAAAGATATAATTTAAGATATAATTTAAGATATAATTTAAGATATAATTCAGGATCGGGTCAATGCTAAAGTTGAATCAAGCCAACAACCGCTATAAAGTACGTAATAGACTTTTAGTTCTTTTAAAGGAAAAAATTCTAGAATTTATAATGGAAAAAAAACAATAAATAAAGATGCAAATTATAAATGATGCATAACATCTTTGCATAATAAGGGCGATTTGCCCAATAAAGCATAGGCGGAACTTTCTCACCCTAGGCGAGAAAAAAAAGGAAATTTTAAAAAAAGGATCAGTATAATAGTAAATCACAGGATTTGAATTTTTTTAGATAGTTGGCCATTTGAACAATTAGTGATTGAATCTAATCAACTAAATTTAGGGATAAAATCTAAATTTACACATGTACGTATGTACACAGGTACATACCGAATCGATTGGTCAATAAAATTTGTTTTGCACGAAAACAATAAATATCATTTCATAAAAATTAATAAAAATTAAAAATGAAACATGAAAAACTCCTTTTAAAAATGTGGTTAATAGAGGTCTAAGACTCTGTGGAACAACTACATAAAGGTAGGGGGATATAAACGTTTTACAATCAAAAGTCGATACCACAAAAGTAAATCTCGTGATATTTAATATTAAAATGTGAGTAGCATTTATTATCTTTGCATTATCTTTAAAACCAAGTTTGGCAATCATTTTATTACACTAATTGCTTTAACAAAACGTTAATCAGAAATAAGGGAACTCAAAGTATATAAAAAAAAAATTGTGAAAATATATACAATTATAATGTCAAACAATTTAATCAACAGAGACAAAAATTCAAATGTTTCGTAATAATTGAGGATGCAATTTCACGGTTCCAAGCATCGAATAATGAAGAGGGCAATTAAACGTTCGCAGTAGTTTTAACATAAAGAGTATAAAACTTTGAGGCCAAGAATGACTTCAAATATTAAATGTCCATTATTTGGTTGTAAAGGTGAACTTAATTTGAAACAGGGGAGTTTATGTTGTGTTCTCGTTTTCAATTTTTTCTATTGGCCTTTACATTATACTTTACGTAACTTCAACACCTAATTTAATAGATATTTTCAAGATTCTAGCATTTACTGTGTGTAATAATAGTTGCAGTAATCTTTGTTCTAACTTGCCAAGGTTTACAATAGCACTTACATTTGCAGTCATTTGCAATTGCAATTGTTCAACCATGCTTAGCAAGGAAAATATGTAACATTAAATGGACACCGAAATTGTTTGAAAAAAAAGTATAAAAGTAAGTCGAATTAGCCTTAGGTATAGACATTCCTCTCAACCAAGACTTAAAAAAAAAACCAAAATAGTCCTATCTTTGTCGCCGGACGACATATTTTATCAAATTTGTCCTATTTGTCCTAAACGATCTTTCCAAAAGAAAAACCAAAAAAGAAAAAAACCTTTCATTTACAGTTTAAACCGACTTCAAATATAATCATAAAAAAAATGCAACTCTTCAAAATTTTCGTATTTGTAGCTCTCTTTGCAGCAGTATTCGTAGCAGCCGCCCCCGTTGAAAAGCGAGCTGTGACAGCAACAACAACAACAACACCAACACCAACTGGAAAAACTGCGAAAAAAGCAGCGTCAAATAATACTTTACCTACAGGAACCGTGGCCACAGAAACCCCACAGTCACAAAACGTTGCTGATAACACAAACGACACTTCTACGCAACCCACTGCTACTGATGGATCTAGGGTCGCTGCCGCTACCGGTACACCTGAATGTGACGATCAAAGTGTTCTTTCCGATAGTGAAGCAGTTAGTAGTGTTAATGGAAAAGTTTGCAAATATAATACTGTCCCACAATCTCAAGTCGGTACCAAAAATTAATCATAATTTCTTTCGTTTCATTTTTTTTCTTTTTCATTTTTCCTTTTTTTTTTGATGGGTATTTTAATGTCATGATGTTTTCGGGAAAAGGTTCTTGGGTATTTACGGCATATTTGATAAAAAGAAAAAAAACAAAAGTTTAATGTAAATATGTGCTCATTGCTTTGCTATTGCATTCAATGTGTACTTTATTTCCTTGAGAGGAGTCACATTGTAGTTTTTAAATATATTTATTGTAAAAAAAAAAAAAAAAAAATAACAAAGTGAGCCTTATTTTAACGTTTTGTATAACGGTTAAGAAAAATAAATTATGTTCGCGGTATTTTTTTTTCAAAAAACAGTAATGAAATTCCATTTTTTATTGGCCTACAACTTTGGACAGTTTCAAAGGTTTTAAAATCAATTCGAATGATGACTTGCAAAAAATATGCGTTCAAAAGAAAATTTGACAGTGCCTCTTGATATAATAGATTCTTGGTAGACCTCTCGATATAGAAATACCATAATAAATTCTGCTTGATATGGGCTTGGTGCTGAGGGAAGGGACCAAATTAAACAAAAAAAAATGTTCCTGAGCTAATTTTGGAGTAGTTAGGCTCAAAACAACTTTTGAAAAAATTGTCAACTTTGGACCCTTTTCTCAAACCTAGTCCATATAATGAAATATCCGTGTACACTCATCGAAAGGCTAGAAATGTTCGTGATCATTAAAATTAAAGATCTCTAATTGTTCGAGTATCGGTATATCAGTTAGCCTACATTCGGTTAGCATTAGCTATAATAGTTCCGGTCAATTTTTGTTGGAATTTTAATCCAAACTCCATTTATATATAATGTCGCTTTAAAACCAGTAACTAATCATAACTTTCAAAGTTCAGTTTCAGGCCATCGCCAAGTTAACAGCGTCGATTGTGTACCAAGATCAACAATCAAAATGCCAATCAGTATGTAGGTTACTTAATTGATTTTTTTTTATTCATAAAAAAAAAATGATTTCCTTATTACCCATACGTAGAAAGAACAAAGATACCAAATATAGACAAAAAGGTTAGGGATGTTAATCGGTCCCGCAGTAATTGTTGAGCAAGTTTTGTTCAACAATAAAGTTATTTCTCTACGTATAACCGTCTCTAATAAAAGTTTATCGGTTTTTGCATTAAACAGATAAACTTCTATTAGAGACTGTTATAGAGAAATAACTTTTCTATTATTACTTATTGACAATTTTTTACAAATCTTGCTCAAGTCCTCACCTTAACCAAAAAAAAAAAAAAATCTTGCTCAAGTCAGCTGATAATTACTGCGGGACCAATTAACATCCCAAAAAAGGTGTCGGGCTAAAGAGAACGTTCGTTAAACTGCAATAATTATTGATACTTTATAATGAAATAAATCATAAAATTTGGTTGATGATGGTTCGCTCAGTTTCGTTCTAGTTCAGTTCAAAGAAGTTCAAAGAAAAAAACGAACTAAGCTAAAGTTCATAAACTCTAAAGTTTGAACTTGAGTTCATAAATTTAAAGCATAAATTCAAGTTAGCTTTGAAATTCAAATTAGAATTCATAATATAAGCAAAGGGCAATATATATATCTGATATACGGTATACAGGATATGTATAAATTAAAAGGTCAAAAACATATGAAAAATTGCATACTTCCAGCGATAGTTTTCTCGACAACTACTAAATATATAGGTATAAGATAAGGTTCATGATAATTATTAATTAGATATATAAACTGAGTCTATAAACCAAGTTTATGAACTTCTAGTTAATTTTTCTTTGAACAAACTACTAAAAATACTAGTTTGAATCGGGTTCAAACCCAGTCCATCTGAACCACTAGACATGGACCTCGCGGTTTTATGGTAAATGAAACGCTGTTAGAAAGTTCAATCCCGCTTAGTACATCTTTTAGACTCTAAAAATACTGTAACCTCTGATAACATTGTGGAATAATAGTCTATGAAATTCTTACAATTTTGTATGCTCGTGGTCAAACTTTAAAACTCTGTAGGATAATAGAGTCTAATACTGTAATGAGTTTATTAATCATAATAAATAGATTTCTTTTCTTTCACGCTTTTATTGCTTAAATCGAGAACGTGAATTATTAGATAACAAATACCATGGCACTCAATCAATCCAGCGGATCGGAATCTAACAAGAATTACCCTTCGGTTGAAAATCATCCTTCTATTGGAATTCCAAGGAATTCTCCTGCCAGAAATTCTCATGATGAGCTTCATATTATGAATTCGGTGAATAATAGTAAGGAGAATTCTGTTCATAAAACCAAGTCAATTATCTGGGGTGACGACTTTATTTTTGGTTCATAAAATGTCTTTTGTTTATCTCTTTAAATTTCTAAATTATATTTTGTAAATTCAAAAAAGGGTTTCAAGACCCAAATGCTCCACGTGTTAATTGTGGCGCAGTGCTCACTAATATGCCGTCAAGGCCAAACTCTGGAATCTGGACTCCCAATCCTGAGAAACGGGGACAGTTATGAAGCTAAACATCTTTAATGATAATATATTGGAATATGTGAAATGTAATAATTATTCTTTATACTTCTATATTCTTTTTAAATTGTTTTTGTTTTTTTTTATTACTTTTCTACAAAAAGAATTGATAATGTTCTATAATAAAATAATAGTTAGATGTGTTTTCTAATAAATATAACATTACATTGTGCTACTAGGCTAATGCAAGCAAACATCTGTAAAGTTTATAAAAGTAATTGTAAGATGTTATATTTAGAATTAGTATCAAAATGTTTTCATATAAAAACAGTTAGTTAATAAATAATAAATAACAATATTACTCAAATAAAAAAAATACTAGAATGTTATAAATTCTATGAGAACATAAGTAGATAATAATAGTGATTTAGTAACTTATTAATACTGAAAAAATACTATAAAACATTAAAAACATAATTAATTTTTAACTTATAGTTTTAGATAAAAATTACATATTTATAAAGGCTTAAAATTAATTACAACTGCAAATGTTAAAAATCAAAAACAAGATGTGGTAATTTAGTAAAATAGATAAGTTGTCAATTTTCAAGTAATAGGTTGTAAGTTCAAAACCTACCAGGAATGAAATTTGGAAAAATACACCTATATTATAGCAATAATATTTTGTTTAATTAGTTGGAATAAGATATCTAAGCTGCTATTAATAGAAATCAAGCAAATCTACATTTTAAAAAAAATTAATATCTTAACTTTTACAGCTTATATCTTGATGAATTTTAAAGCTATCTTGATGGTTTAATATTTAAAAGAAAGCTTAGATCATAAGCTTTCTTTTGAATATTAAATCATCAATATAGTTTTAAAATCCATTAAGATATAAGTTGTGAAAGTTAAGATATTAATTTTTTTTAAAATGTAGATTTGCTTGATTTCTATTAATAGCAGCCTATCTGTAACTATAATTATATTAGCATAAATGGCAGGTTAAAAGACATCTGTATAACCTTGATTATATAAAGAAATATAAACTGATACTAGATAATACAAACCCAAAATAAGTTTTTATAGTTATATAAATTTGTAGAACTGGAAAAACTAGAACTTAAAAATCTTTAACAGTACTACTATAAAGATTAGATCTAAAAAATAGATAATAATATGAAAAAATTAGACAGAAGATAAGAAGTATTACTAACTAGATTGTTGGAAGTTTTGAATCAATGAAAAAGAATATCTAGTTGAACTTAGTATACTAAAAACAAATTATAGTTCTACTAAGTTATTTGAATTAGAAGATTGATAACAAAGCAGAAGCATACTGTAAGTACTAAAAATATGTTGTAAAATTGGTACTAAAATCTAAATAAACTTTGCAAAATCAAGTCTTGTTAATGTCCTATAAAAATAAATAGATTAGTTAATAAAAAGATCTTTTAAAATCTTACAGTTAGGTAATATATTCTTTTTTTTCAATATTAAGGTAATTTTTTTTGGTTCTGACTTTTTATTAATACTTATAACAAACACATATACATATAGACATATCTATATTGAACTATTAAATGAGTGTATAACTGGCATACATGTAGTAATATATTTTAAAATATATAATAGTTTAATAAATATATAAAAAGAAAAATCAAATATTAAGTTAGATAATACTAACAAATATACAAGAACTAGTATATTATTTATCAAATATAGTATAAGATCAAAGTGTTTAATTAGAGCAAATTACAGATATGGTAGCTAGTATAGAACCTGTGAATAGATTACTTAAATAGATAACCAAATGTTACATATATAACTAGTTGCATACTTATTATATATAAGTTATATAAAAATAATTTAGCTATAAAAAAAGCAAAAAAAAAAGAATTAAAAACATGTTATTAAAGTCTAGTAGATTTACTTTAAGAATAAAATAATTAAATAATTATAAATAAAAAAACTGAATTAAGTTTAATAAAAATTAGTAAAAATTAATAAAAAAATAATCAACTAAAAAGATTAAATAAATAAATTTTAAAATATAGTAACTTGCAATAGTTAGTAAGTTGTTAACCTTTAAATAACAAGTTTAGTATTCAAATCTTATTTATGCCAAAATTAAAAATTATATTTGTATTATAATAATTGTTTTTTATTGATCAGTTAGATTTATGTATTTGTAATTTTAAGTACATTAAGTTGAATTCTACTCAATATTAAAAATTTAAGTATTTATATAAAGTTTAATATTATATATATAAGAATAAGTCAATAGAAAATTGTTAACTCCCAAGTGGCAGGTCCAGAGTTCAAATCCCAGTGTTGACAGAAAATTTGAAAATCCTCCCTGTATTACGGTTAACTGTCTCTTGCAATTGGTTGGAATAAGATACCTGTAATCCGTGTCACACCAGCATGACTGACAGGTTATATGGAATTTGTGTAACGGTCACATGGCATTTGTGTA